TTTAAAGTATACATAAATATGTTTAAATTAATTTACATTTATCCAGAATCTGGAGCAGCAAAGCAATTGCTGCCAAAACTTGACTCCTACTGCTAAGAGCACTTACTTTGTTCCTATCACTGCTATTAAGACTCTCCTCGTAATATTAATTACTCTTGATCTTCAGATATCTCTAGAATAAGATAATAACAAGTTGCTGTTTGTACTAACTTTGATAATAATAATATTAAACATTTGGAATGTCTATGTATAACTTTGACTAAACTCAATAAAGTTTATTAAATTAAATTAGGTTAGGTACAGTTATTTTACTAAAATAAAGATACCCATTATGGTACATTAGGTACTCTACATTTCGTTGAATAATAATCAAAATTTACATACCTTAACTAACACATCTGAGTAAACAAATACTGCTTAACACTAACATAACTACATATCATCACACCGTAATAATTATTATACTTATAAGAATATTTTACAGACTGCAAATATTCCTGAACACTTAACATAAACTTCATTTTAAAAACGCCATTAAATGACGAGGGAATTGATAAAAGAAACCTAGTCAATAGTAAGATTCTTGAAGGACCCGTCGATACTCGGGAAGAATGTGCTAATCGTGTGAGGGCCGGTCGGCCTTTTCGACTCGTTGACTCTTTTCAGAGACTCTTCTTGGAAGAACTGTGTGTTGGCTTTGAGTTTATTCCATATTTCATCTAAAAATACCAATTTGCATACAATTAGCATGTTTTTGTTTAGGTATAGTGAATCATTAGTTAACCATTTTTTTGTAATTAGTGACAACTTCAGCCATCATTTATGAATCATATTATGTGTCTTTAATCTCTTAAAATAACCTGTATTATTTATTATTGTGTATGCTCACCTCGCAATGTTTTTACGTCTTTGTATTCTCCTCCCCCTTCCCTTGGCAGCGCAGATCGAGGCATATGCTGTTCCAGAGTGTCAGAACCAACCGCATGGACCTTCAGTCGGTCCAGCATTTTCTCAGTCAAGACCGGTTTGACCATGGAAAGCATTTTGTCCACGAACTTCGGCGCGTTAATGAAGTGAAACTCCTTAAGACGAATGAACATTGCTTCCTGAAATATACATTTAGGTGGTATTTAAAAGTCTCACGTAAAATGCATTTTGGAAGCTCTATTTCTGTCATTTAAGAAAGTTAAACTGTAATTTGACCCGTATCAGAAGAAAATAGAAAGTTCAAAGTTAAGATTCGACTTCCTTCCAGTGTAAAGTGGATTGTCTGATGGTTTATTAAGTTTCAGTCTTGAGCTCTATAATTTTTCAGGTATTTGACTTCGAGTTCAAAATTTGATATCATCAGGAAGGTTAACTTTTACCTACCTGTAGGTAATAAAAAAACTGCTGCGCTACGGCCACGTCGATTGCCGATATATGACTAAGAGTCACTCTGTCCATATCCACTATCACTGCTATCTCCGGTAGTGTCCCTTCCTCATATTGCCACAGATCCATTAGCATTACAAAAGTCCTAAATAAAAGCGTATGTTATTCCGAATACTTTATTTGTATTTACTCAGGTATGTAAGTATTTCAATTCTATATTAATACTTATTCAAATAACTTCTATAGATAAGCAGTGAAACGACGTTATCTTAAATATTAGGTTAGTAACTCGTAATTATCAATTTAAGAGGTTTTTACGAGTAAATAACAATCATTTTTACCTGACAGCGTCTTTGTAGACGAAATTTTTTATATCTGGGTCCAATAAATAACAATAGATAGCTCGGTATCCTTTCAAAGTCGGTTTAATTAAAGGGGTTATTAACCTGAAATGGAGAGTAAAAACTGTGTTACAAAATAAATTAATTTTCCACGAAATAAGTTAATAAATCGTATTTCACAGCAAATTTTCACTTACCATGTGTTTAGAGCCCTTTCTACAGAGTTATCTACATTTCTATTGGAATAAAAACTTAACAAGGTCCTAAGAGTATAATTGAGGTCAATCACCCGCTTTGTGGACTCAATGTCGCCATCACAATAGTTGTATGCAAATATTATATCTAAGTCTGCAATGAGATTAGTATTTGATAATTAAATATTAAGCTTAGTTATCATAAAATTACTGAGATCCAGGTATCCAAGTATACATATTATACTTCCAATAAAATGTTGCACTGGTTTGATAACAACAAGAGTAGGTATGAGAATTATTATTTCTTACCTGTGATATACATATGCGGTAGATGCGACTGTGTGGTCAACCATTCTCGAATCTTTTGAACATCACGTTTGAGACCCGGCACGTTCTCATATTCCTTTTTAACGGGAAATGCCGCCACTGACATATCAGTAAGAACTCTACATGCGCTCGCTAGCGGAGTGTTTACACGAATGCAGTAATCATAGTGATGCGAGCGTCTCGTGCCTTTAAATTAGCGCAAGGTCATCGAGCACGCCTTGAATAGCAGAAACGTTAAACACTCGATTGATCGTGCTACTGGTATCGACAGGCTATTCGGCTACTAACTGTTCGCTCCGGACGAACGAACCGCTCAAGTGATAAATTGTATAGGCGTTGTAGCGGGCAGCTTTATTGCCAATGATGAAATATTATAGTTCAATCTAAACCAACTGTATGCCGTTGTTTTTTTAAATAAATTTTTGCACCATTGCAGCTTTGTGATAATTTATAGCGGGTTTTAGAACGACAGATTTACGTTATCCGTTTTGTTTTAGTGCCGTGTATATTTTTTGTATTTCGCTCTTATAATCGCTGTAGATACCAACTCATCAATCAATTAGAAGCTCCTGAATAACTAATCCTCCAAATCAAAATGTGTATAAGTAACTAATCTGTTTTATTATTTCCTTATTTTTACCTCACCAGAAAATATAAATTAAGATCTATTGTAAGATATATTCTAAGTAATGTAATGTTCATATCGGTCTCTTTAAATTTAAAATCATCATTTTGTACTAATAATGGTGTAATACCAAATACGAAGTACGAGGGCTGCACTAAAAGTATCGGGAATGGAATATTTCCACTGTTCCAGTCATATTAAAATCTATTTAATTGCAAACTCCAGGGTTTTAAAAATCAGATACCATTTATTTATTTAAAAAAAGATTCTCGGTCGTATCACAAGGTCTTGTCAAACTTGTTTAGTCGTTGAGAAAATGGAATTGACTCGAGAAAATTCAAGAGCGATGATTTATTATGACTTTTGAAGTGGTTTAACACAAAAACAGTGAGTTGACCGGATGATTTCTGCATTTGGTAATGAAGCCCTATCCAAAACCACAATTTATCGCTGGTTTCCTGAATTTCAATGTGGACGTGTCAAGCTCAGTGATGATCCCCGTCAAGGTCGTCCAAAAACTGCAGTCACCTAAGAAAACGTTGATGCTGTGCGTAAGCTGATTGAAGAAGATCGACATGTGATATACCGCGAAATTCAGGCAACTTTAGACATTGGCATGAGTCAAATACAAATAATCTTGCATGAACAATTAGGTGTAAAAAAGTTGTTTTCCCGATGGATACCGCATTCGCTCTGTGAAGAGCAAAAAGCGGCTCGCGTTACTTGGTGCGTCAGAACTCTCGGGAGATTACATGCAGGATCCTCAAATGCTGTATACAACATCGTATCAGGTGACGAATCATGGATATACGCGTACGAACCCGAAACAAAAAACCAGTCACGAGTTTGGGTGTTCGAAAATGAATTAAAGCCAACAAAAATTGTTCGTTCACGGAGTGTTGCAAAAAAAATGGTGGCCACGTTTGTCTCCAAAACCGGCCATGTTGCGACTATTCCTCTTGGGGGACAAAGAACGGTTAATGCAGATTAGTATGCTAGCATTTGTTTGCCACAGGTCGTTTCTGAACTCCGTAAAGAGAACTGCAACCGCCGCATCATCCTCCATCACGACAATGCGAGTTCTCACACCGCGCACTGAACAAAAGAGTTTTTAGAGCAAGAAAACATAGAATTATAAGTCCATCCGCCGTACAGCCCCGACCTAAGCCCTAATGATTTCTATACTTTCCCTAAAATAAAGAATAAATTGCGTGGTCAGAGATTTTCATCACCTGAAGAAGCTGTGGAAGCCTACAAAACGGCCATTTTGGAGACCCAAACTTCCGAATGCAATGGTTGCTTCAATGATTGGTTTCGTGTATGGAAAAATGTGTCAAATTTCGCGGAGAATACTTTAAAAAGCAATAAATACATTTTTAAATAGTAATGTTGTTTCACTTCCTTGATTCCCGAAATTTTCAGTGCCGCCCTCGTAGGTACTGCTTGCTCGCCCTTGCCCGAGTTTCCAGGACATCGAGCGAGTGTGAGCCCGTGAGCGGCTCATTGGCCGAGCAGGCACACGCTCCAGCAAGCGTTTTCAAAGCCGCGCGCTCAGCCGTGACTGAAGATATTTTAGATAATAAACTACTTAAATTATAATCAAAGACTACCATGTACCACTAGACAGACTGTAATACTGGTAATACTTATCAAACTTGTGATTGCTAAAACCTCATAATATTCCATTGCGAACAAGCGATAGTACCTACCTAACAGATGTGCCGCGAGCGCGGGGGCCGTGAAAATGGTACTCGACGAACTAAATGGGACTAATATTATTGTTATTCTGTGCTAATATTAAACGTAGTAAAACGTAGGCATTTTGTTTATGTGATTCGAAGTTTTATAATACCTAATATCCTTAATTGTCATTAATTTAAGCTCTGAAGATGAATGAAATGTGAATGTACCTACACGTACAAACTCAAATAAAGGTCACAAGAACTGTAGCTTAATTTTTAGCCTTGTAGCATAATACCATGGATAAGTACTATAACTTAGAAAAACCTTCATATTACATCAAAGATAAAATATTAATATCGGTGACAATTAAAAGAAGACATCACACTTCAGGCAATGTGACAGTGGCATTATTTATATTTTCGTCATTTTTTAAACGTTTTATTTTCTAGTAATTTATTTTGGAAGACACCTTTATTTACTTATATTAATATCTTGCTTTTTATAATCATTTTGGGAAAATGTTTGGAATCGATGACGAGGAAGAAGACTTGGGGGGTCTCTACGAGGATGGACATTGGGTGTGGGATGAAAATAAAAAGCAACTTGAATTTAGAAGGTACTTGCCCATGGTACCTGCCTATACAAAGAATAATAGATCTGTTACATTGCTACAGTTAATCCGAAATACCCTAATGTTTTAATAATAATTTCCCTAATAAGCTAGGGAAGCAAAGTATACGAATATAAGGTTAAGCATATTATTTTCCTTTTTCTTATTAATTACAGTGATGTAGCTGTCCCGGAGGACGATTTTGCTCCAACAACGCCTGCGATCTTTGGCCCTATAGAATTCAAAGATGATATAGACTTAATGGAACAGGTAAATGAAATTATTATCAATTAACTAACAGGTATCCAACATTTCGTTAATTCACGAATACTCATGATATTCTTGGTAAATTCGTCTTCAGCAAAGATTCCGAAAACGTTTCCAAAGACGGCCAGAGGGTGATGATGATGTAATAATGCTGCAGGTAAATGCCTTACATCTATTACAGCATTATTTAAATAGTTAACGGATCCTATCCCATACCTAACAAATTACTGTGTATTTTAGGATATAAAAGACTTGGTGCTGTATACGGCTCCGAGCTCTATATTAACTCCAACCGTAGTAAATATTATGCATCTCTCGACAACGGACCGATTCATCAGAGCCTTAATCTTCTATTTTCAATACTATTTACAGGTAATATTATTTTATTGTATTAAAAATCTACGACATGAGACAAAGCGATGATTCATATAACCAACCTACCTATTTTTATTTTTGATCTGTCTATTTTTGTGTATTGTGAGAAATTGTAGCTCTGATTTGTTTGTGATGTTTCGGATAGGTCATTGTTTGGAGTGATAATTATAAATAGGAGATATTATTAGATTGCAATTTCTATTTGTATTATTAGATTGCTGATGAAATGGCAAAGCGGGTATTGGAACTTGAGACGAAAGTCAGAACTAACAAAAGCTATGAGGTGGAACTGGAATTAAGGGACAACTTGGAGGACTTGCGATTACTCGTTGCTAAAGAATACTGCACTATGGTCTTAGGTATAAGCAAATATCTAAATTAAAATTCGACAATAAGTACTATCTTAAATTCTGTGCACTGGATCGTGTCAACCATGGTGTGTGTAGAGTCCTTTACCCTAAGATGTTATAAATAATTTTAGGTGGAGCGGACTATAAAAAATTTCATCACATGGGCCCAAACAAAAAAATGCGATCATTGTCAAAGAAGGACGCATTGATTTTTGAATCTATATTGCGTATTTGTATGCAAATAACGTGGTTGGCTCTTGGACGGCAATCATTTAATCAAATAGGTAAGATTTTTTTTACCTTACCTCTTAAAACCTAATAGAAAGTAATTAACCTTTTATTTTTTTTACTACAGAGCTAGAAACAAATAGAATGTTCAAGTCGCAAATATTCAATATGACCGAACATAAACTGAAGACTAATTACATAGCTAAAATGTCCTCCTACGAGCGTTTTGTATTGCTCGGACACTGCGTGAATGAAAAGCAAAAATTGAATATGCTGTCACCTTTGATGAATGAGACTCTTTGTCATCGGCCAATCGATTTCAGAATGTTGGGTCTTGGAACAATAAAAATACCAACGTAAGTGAAAATAGAACGACTTTAAAATGATTAAAATCAATACGTACGCTTACCAGATGATTTTGTAATTTTATAGAGCCGCGTGATTTCTGGACGTGTAATAAAAATATTTTTTCCGTGCAGTTTAACTTTCCGACTTCGCTACATAGATGAAAGACTATCGATGGATGAGCGGCTATTTGAGAAGAACGGGATATCCCTGGGTATCCTGGGAATGCCGAGATCTCGGTTCGATACCATGCTGAGAGAAATAAAAATGACCACTACTAGTTCTACTTCGTCTGCCAGCATGCGTGGGAAGTAAGTACCTACATAATATCTTTACAGGAAAAAATATGATCGTTTACTTAACTAAAATGTATCAGCTCTACTATAAGTATTATTGGTTCTTAATAATAATCACTAACTGAAAGTTCAGTGAACTATTGCCTACTTTAACCTACTTTTTACCCTGTGGATATGGATGTCTAGTAAGTAGTCATGGTAGAAGAAAACGTTTTTCGAAATGACAAACCGAAGTCTACTTGACCAATGCCTGTTTTCACCATCAATCCCTAATTCTTAAGTGACCCCTATGGTAACACATTCACATAACACACGCTTTAACGCTTAAAAATTAGGGATTGATTATGAGGCAGGCATATACAAAATAAGAAGGCCCCTAACACAATTTAATAAAGCTTACTGTTTTCAGATCGGTGTCACGAACCTCGCGCGTTAGTATGAAAAAGAGCACAATGATTGAACTGAAGCTTTACGGTGACATAGATTTGCCTAGCAAGAATTATGACAGGTAAGTCACGAATTCGGTAGAAAAAAATATTAAACTTCTGTACCATCCCATCACAGTAAAAGCAGCAGTTCTCTGTACATCACTCCTCTGCATTACTCAATTCTGAGGTGATATCGAAAAACTGAACTGACTAAACGTAAAAGTAAGCATGATGCACAAATATCGGCTCGTTTGACAAAAGGTACTTCACAAGTTAACAGAAATTATTGATCAAACAAGATCGATCTCTTTTCAGAGAGTGGTTCCCGAATGAGTTCCCAATGGAGACGATCAAGCCTACGAGATGCAACCCGGTGCAGCGCTTGCGCTGGATGGCGCGAGCGGCGCGGCTTGCCGGCAAACACTTCTCGGTTGTGAGGAGATACAGGAATATACGGTTGAATATGGTATAGGGATACCAATACATGAGATGTATCTTTAATATCGAAAAATATAACAGTTCCATTTACAACGTGTTTTTGTAAAGGCTTTTAAATTTAGTTAGTTATTGATAGTAAAACTTAAAATGATAATCAGGTACCTACACAATTTTCAAAATTTTCAGGAAAACATGATAATATTAACACCATAACCATGATAAACCTCCGTAGTATTATTCCACTCACATACTCATAACTAACCATTAAAACATTCCTGAAAAATGACAGAATAGGAGCATCAAATTATACCACCATTAATAAACCTTTCCGCGTGTAGCAGTGATTGGCGTCTAGGATGTACTCGCCTCAATTATCCTGTCAAAGGTGGATCGACGTAATGTATTCTGGAACTTGATAACTGGGGTTTCAGTACTACGAATATAATAAATTATTATCCATTAGGTCAATGAGAACTTCACTCACTACCCTCACGGCTTCAACCAAGAAATGGGTTATTTTTAAACACGTTCGAAGAAAACGAGGACGTAGGTACATTATCTCCATTTATTAAAATCTAGTAAAATTAAAATTAGTATAACTTGTAACAAAATAAATATAAAACTAAGAAACGCATAACATAAATAAGATAATAAGCAAACACTACACAATCATAAAGGGAAAAATTCACAATTCTGTAAAATCAATCCTACTGATTGATGAAAACAATTGAAATATTAAAGCACAACCTTCTTTTGTCAAATAATTAAGCAAGGAGAGCAAGCTCATCAGGTAGGTAACCTGGATTTTCTTCAACGCCCATGAGGATGGAGTAGCTTCATAAGCCTGGTCTGCCATCTGCGACGCTGCATCTCACTGCAGGGCCGAACCTCCTCGGGCTCATCGGGGAACGAAGAAGGAAAAAGTATCCTACACAAACATAAGTATTTTTTGTTACAGTGGTCAGCTGAATAATTTTTATATCTATCCTTATCTTAAAAGCATGCAAGTTATTTCAGTGGCAAACTTACAATAGCAATATACATAACTATAAGCGACTCGCATTAAAGAGGGAGAATATTCTTTGATACGCATCTGTTATTACTTTTATTTGTCATTGCTGAGGCTGTTAATGGAGTGAATGTCAATTTATTACATAAGTTTTATTATTATATTTAGCTAAGCAAAACAGGGAGGATTATTCTTAAGTAATTTGAATAGTAACGAAAATGTTAACTGTCCGTTAATTAAAATTAAAGAGGGTTGGTGAATAATGTAACCACTTACCCTCGGGTTTCCTTTCTTGGTAACACCACATCAGGATATAGCTTCTGGGCTGCAATTGTACTTTTCCTCATCGAACCGGTACTTTTGGAACTGTACCCGCTTGCTGAAGACCTAATTAAAACACATTAAATATGAAATTTTTGAATTATGATTACATTACAACAACATTCTTTGATGTAAATAACTTACTTTAATTAAATTTATGACATTGAATGACGATCATAATGATTTATTATAGAGGTATTCTATTCCCTCAACTCACATAGAAGCTTTTGACTTTCCTTCCCCAGCAGTCGGCAAAGGTTTCAGCATAGTATCGAAAGCGGTGCGCGGCATGCCCAGTATGCCCACGGTTACCCCCAGCTCTAGCAACTTTTCTTCAGGTCCAGCCACTGCTTGAAGCATGTAGTGAAGACGAGGCGACATCCTGTAAACATTTTTTATTATTCAATCTATAGAAGCAATTGTAGAAGCAAAAGTTACTCACTGATCATCATTATTAGCATGGCATGATCTCACGCTTATTTCATTGAGCTCCTCCAACCATCTTCCTGAGATTATTGATCCATCGAGCAGGTGGCCGTCCTATGCTACAATTACCAATTTTTTTACTTACTGATGCGTCTTTATAACACCAAGGCCCATCATGCGGTAGTCGATCTCTCTGTGACAGAAAACCTCGTTCATTAGAGGAGATCGTGTGTTCAACTTCTTGTCGTGGCGAAGACAGTGACCCAGTAGCACTGCACGCTCTTCCTTCGACATCTTACTGATGTATCCCGTCTGTAGGTTGTGCTCCACAGCGTTGAATATCTCCGACTTGAATATACGATTCAATTCCAACTCTAAACGACACAATAAATTAAAACTGAGATATGTGACAAGCCAAAATTTGCGTTAGATTATGTAGAGCATCAAAACATGTTTTCCCATGACGTCTTAAACAAATTCAAATTTTCCAAACATGTCTATGTGACAACATTGAACTTTTAAGCCAAAGCACAGTGTTTACCTATTTGATTGAAGGACTTGCGCCCTAATGCGAGCCAAACAATCTGAACACACATTCGGAGCAAAGTTTCGAACAGCCTCGCGTCTTTGTCTGACAAAGATCGCCGCTTCTTCTGAGGTCCCATGTGGTGGAACTTCCTAGTATCGCTGCCACCTGAAAGGTATTTTCATATTTGAAAGTAGTACCTAAACACACATTTTGTTCGCCTAAATTGACATTTGAATGGTCACGTCTATTTTTGCGAGTTTTATTGGAAAAATACCACTTACGAAAATGTTCGAGAGTGAAAAAATTATAACTTCTTAACACAAGAAACTATTTACTGAAAAGGGACTAAAATGAAATTACCAACTCAACTATAGCGTCTACTTAGTACCTATTTGCAGGACTCACCAATAAGCATCGTGCAGTATTCTTTCGCCACCAAAAGTCGTAAATCAGCTAAATTATCCCGATATTCATTTTCAAGTATCTCGCAGTCGGGAGTCCGCACCTTTGTCTCCAATTCTATTATACGATTCGCCATCTCGTCCGCTATCTAAATGAACAAATTAAAAACACGTCTGTCTGTAACGTCTGTCGTTAGGAAGAATTTATGTATTAGGTTCACCAACAGATAAATCTATATTTATTCAAAAAAAGCTCCTCAATGAAATACGAATACGGAAATCAGACATTTTGTGGTAGGTTGATGAGGAAATATTATTATAAAAACAAGGAAATAGAGCGGTCCTAGTATCTTCGTAATCAGTAGCTGTAAAAGGACTTTATTAAGTCTACTTTTTCAAAATCATGATAAAAATCCTGACCCTTCATGCAAAAGTGTTTTCAAAAGAACATTTAGTTGCAATGCAATGTTATTCTATTATACATAGAAATTCCTGTTAATAATATGCTGAAACTTTCTTGTAGGAAGTAAGTAGTACTAGTAAGTAAACTCTACCTGCAAATAGTACTCCGTATACAATATCAGCGCTCTTATAAATCGTTCGGTTGTTGGAAGGTGTAGCATATTTATGAGCATCGGGCTCATTATGTGCACGGGGGCCGTGTATAATGCAATATCTTTCACGTCCTGGAAATCATAATACGTAAGTATTCTACTGTTCTTATATCACTTGTGACTATTAATAACAATAGCTAAAGTAGGTGTACGATCTACGGACTAACATTAATGTTTCTTATAATTGGAAATTGAATCATAATAGCACTATAAACAGTGCATACTCATTTAAAAGCCAGCACTAATTTAAACTACGACGAGTAGGACGACTAAGTAACAAGTGTTGACAAAAATATTTATTGATGAAACATAGCGCCTGTCCTGCCCCCAGGAATAGTGCTAAAGCCTGGCAGAATGGCTTCGCTGCCAGCCTTCTTGTCACCAGTTGCTATCTATTTTTTAATCACATATTACCCACGCTTTTACTTATTTACCTGGCAAGTAATAACTTCAGCTTGTCCCGCCTTGACTTTCCTTTGGTAACGCCGTCGAAAGCGGATCTATAAGAGGGAAGCAATACCAAACATGAATTTACATGCATTACCTATCTTTTAAAGAAAAAAGTATTATTATTATTGTACCTGTTCTATCAAATCTACATCGTCTCTAAACTCAACAGTCCCAGTCGGCGCCTTCGCTAATATTTGTATTGCTTCAACTGGTTTCGGGGGCAAATCACTGTAAAAAACAGGCTTGACAAGTATCAATACATGCAGATGGCTACGACGTATTATTTCCTTTCATGTACAGAATGATTTCAATCAAAACTGTTTAGTGTCGTTGTGTGAAAGGTAATTTTAAAGTAGCAAATACAACATAAAACTTTTTACAGGAACCAACCTAACGAAAACCAAACCTCTGGCGGACTCGTCCCACGCCCAATGCCCATCCTCATACAAACCACCGAAGCCTCCTTCGTCTTCATCGTCTGCCATTTATGAAATTGCAATTAAACAGCAAAATATTAAAATTATCTTGTAATAGCAATATTAACAATTCATACGAGATTCGGACAATGACATTCAGTCAATTATCCATCCATAGATAAAACGGCACTCTTTAAAAACCTTCAATCTTCAAAGTATTATAGTTAATGCTTCTGTATGCAATAATGTATCTGTAATGCAGTACTGCTTCAAGTGGCCGATGATGTGTTGGCTGCTCAGGATAGTGGGGAGGGCACTTTGTTGGCTTTGTTGGACTTCTCGAGAGCTTTCGACTGCATTAGCGTCCCACTACTATTAGCAAAGTTGCATTATTATGGTTTCAGTCCATGTGCTGTGAGATGGTTTTATAGTTACTTTGAGCACAGAACTCAATGTGTAGGGGTGTCAGATGATGCTGGTGAGACAAGAGTATCTGATCACTTGGCTGTTAATCGAGGGGTTCCACAGGGTTCAATTCTGGGTCCACTTCTGTTCATTATTTATAGTGCGGACGTGGTTGATCATATACATAATTGTAAGTACCACATCTACGCTGATGATATACAGCTGTACATTTCGAGTAAGCCGAAAGATGTTCACGAAGCAATTACGTACCTCAATGAGGATCTTGGACGGATAACAAATTGGGCTAAGTGCAATTCCCTAGTACTAAATGGAAATAAGTCCAAATATATGGTGCTGGGTTCTAGGGATCAGATAAGAAAAACCATAAACAGGGGAATTAGTGTGTTGATCGAGGGGGAGCCAATAGAGAGGGTAACAGAAGCTAAAAACTTAGGACTTCTAATGGATGAAGAAATGCGCTTTGAAAAACACGTGAATAATATAGTAGGAAACTGTTTTTATAGACTGAAAGTATTATACCAAATACGTAATGAAAATCGTTTGAAATTGTGTGACTCTCTTGTTCTATCTAAGTTCAACTATATGGACGTGGTCTATGGCCCCCGACTGCTGGCGCGTACCAAGAAAACTATCCAACGTGTGCAAAATGCATGCGCCCGTTTTTGTTTTTCAATCCCGCCGAGAACACACGTTACGCCTTATATAACTAATGCTAATGCTAAAATATTAAAAATGAACTCACGCAGGGCGTTGCACTTTGCTACACTGCTTTTTGGTATGATGAAAAACAACACTCCGACTTATCTACTAGATAAATTAGTTTGGTCAAGGGAAATCCACTCGCACAAGACCCGTCGCTCCAGCAGCACTCTCGTTCTTCCGCCGCACCGAACCGTTGCCTTCCGGGGTAGCTTCAGGTTTGCCGCCTCCAAGTGTTGGAATGACTTGCCACCGCCATTACGTCGTCTGCAAACATCATACACTTTTAAAAAGAAATACCGTGAACACATTTTTAACAAACAAATACTGGAGTAGGTTACTTGTATCCTTACCTAAAGGTTCCAGACGATCAAGCACGGAAGTGGGCAAGACGATCGAGACTGCTGTAGCCTGACATCACCACTTGAAATTGACATTTTTTTTTATTTTTTATGTTTTTCTCTCCGGACATACTATTTGTAACACCATTATAACACCATATTAAATACTTATTTCATGATTATTATTTTATTTCTAATGACATCGTAACTATATATTTGACACTAATTTAAATTGAATTATGTTTAGACGACCAATACTGCTGGAATTTATTTGTTTTTTATTTTATTTTTTTTGTTTGTGGGTACGCGTGTAGCGCTCGGAACAATATTGTGGGATGAACTGAATTGTTTAATCGCGCGCAATCAATCATTCGATTGCACGAACCGGTTTTGCGAGCGTCGAGACACTCCGCAACGCGTAACAATGTCACTCTTTACGAATATTACACATTAACACAATATTACTTTACTATTACTACACACTCACACACACCTATACAAACAGTTTTATATTTTTATTAGTATTCTTTTCGTAGTCTTTCATCCTTACTGATTTTCCGCCTTTTGTATTTATCTGTGGACTAATATTACTATTTATGTATGTTTAGAAAATATTATGGAGCTTACTATTTTATTTATTTTAACAATGGTCCGTGACCCTCACTCGGCATTGGGCACACTGAAAACCAGCGCCGTGGCCTTCGTCACCGTGGGCCACGGCATATGCTGAGTGGGGTCCCGTTGCAGTGGGCATCTTATTGGTGGGTGGGTGGCACTGCTCAGTTTACTCTTGTTTTTTACTTTTTTTTTCTTGTTCCATTATTATGTGCCACTGTCATATCTATGTAATTGCCTGTATTTGTGTGATGTCCATTGTAATAAATGTATCTTTCTTTCTTTCTTTCTTTCTTTTATTTTTTTATATTTTCAAAATAAAAAATATTTAAAAATATCCCTAGTATATTCCTAGTTATATGAGTGTAGTGTTTGTATCTACGTACTAGATAGTTACAATACNCTTTCTTTCTTTCTTTAATAAGGTATCTGTTAAAAAGTTTTAGCTATAATCTTGTGGTGGCTTTGGAAAAGTTTGGAACCATTTGGAACTAATTTATTCTTACGTTAAAAAAGATTTCACATTTTGCCTCAAGTAGGTACTTTTTTGTATGGAGTACAATCGTTGGGTACTTTATTGGAAAATCGCACCTACTACAACTAGAAACATAAAAAAAACCCTCCTTCTGGCGCAGTCGGGTAAAAAGATACCAGTGCTAACCACCACGTAATGTGCCGCCATCATTAGGGAAGTGGGTAAATACCTACTGAAACTATTCTCGATTTGTATAATCTTAACATTGTAAACTATTTAAAGACAGTCTACATTTACACACATAAGTTACAAATCAAAATCGAGTGCGTTTGTAAGTTCGGTTGGGGATATTTACGATGTCACAGCGACCTCACTGAATATAAAGTTATGTTAATTCCGACGCTTCGCCAACTCCAAACCTTAAAATTTGAAAAATGTACGAAGTTGTCTCGATTCGATATTAGATTATGAATGATTCTAGCTAGAGCGTAGGCAAAGGTTAAGGAGTTACTTTAAAAGCTTGGAAAACATATTAATAAGTGCTTAGAAGAATTTGACTACAATTATAATTATTATTATCAAATAGTGGCTCGAATTTACAAAATCCCAGCACACCCAGATGCAAGCCAATTCATAAATTCTTTCTTTCTTTCAAATAATTTTAAGTTTAAAGTCAGTATATGATAACACATCAAAATATGTATTTTGCCGTGTATTACTATACTATGTTCACATCACTACCTCCCACCCTCCCATCCTATGATAAAAACATTTACGGTAAATCCTCTTTTTGGGAGGTGAATAAACTGGAAAGAAATTTGAGCAAGTATGTCATATGTGTTAATTCATTGGATTCAAGTTCACAGGCGATCGCACACCGCGCTTTGATCGTGCCCGTTCTGCCATGTGATCAAATGAGCTCTACTTAGTTGGGTCGGCGCCGATTAACCCTGTGCTCATAAAAATATAGACTAGGGGACATGAGGTGGCCAAAATAAAAGGTTACGAAAATACATTCCGTTCTAAGGTTGACATTTCGGCTAATATAAAATTACGGCGTCCTCTGGTGTAGCGAAAGTCAATGGACTTAAATAATGGGTAATCGCTTGTTCAAGTAACCCACTAGCTTGGCACCTAAAAAATAATAATTTGCGTTGAAAGGGAAGTAAGTTAAATTAGGGTATGAGCCTCTGAATAGTTAATACAAACACACCAATTATATTATTGTTGTTATTGTCTCTACATGCATGCGAGCTATTCTTAGATTCATTCCAAAGAGGGATAAATTGCCACTTTACTTGTGTATCTAGATTTTCCAAGGAACACTTGGCCACGATTGAATGCTCCAATGAAACTACCATCTCTAAAATAAACATTATCCTTCGCAGATCTAGAGAAAAAGTTACATACCTACATACAGATTCATCAATTAAAAATGTATAAATAACTTAACAACATGCTGTGGAACTAAGTATTTCAAATATTTGGTTCATTGTTTATTAATACATCAGATTGAAACAAATTGCTCAATTGAATAACGTTTTGAACAAACTATGAGCATAGTCGCATCAATGGACATGTTTCTAACTCAATGAGCATTCCTTCCAATTCCGTACGACCAATGGTCGGTCGTGCGTCTCGCGCCTAAAACGGGCAAAAAATATTAAACAAAGTCGCGTGTACAAAATTTTACGGAATTTTAAACGTGAGTAGGTACCTATTTATTTAACAGAATGGTCTCTACGCATCTAACCGTTTGGTCGGCAAAGCGCCGCTCTTCATTGTTTTGTTTGCCATGCAAATTGCATGCCTAAATAAATTCCTGTTCACACGCTGAAAAAATACTCGACGGCGAATAACCTACATGTATTCTTAATAGAATTTGGAATGTAGGTTATTATTAAGAATACGTCATGTTGATTATAATTGGTGTGTCATAACTTGTGAACCCCTAATGCATTTTTATTTAATTGTTTCTATTGATCTTTGACTCCTAAGACTACAATAATTTCCTTCCCCATTAAAAGGATTGACTACTTAATTAAAGGAAAGACAGAAAACAAAAACCACTAAAAGTATCATTACCGTAACTAAGTATTTACCTACTCATAAAAAAAGTAAAAATCCGTTTTAGTACAGTTTCTTTTCTGAGTTGGCAGGTTAATGTGTAAGTAGCCTCATTGTTTGGAGTGCTGAAGCGTGTATTTGTAATAAAAGCCTAAGTTCATAGACGTGTTAAAGTTTGGAGAGGTGTGCAAATATTCATTTAGGGTATATGCAGTGAATCCCTCAATTATGTCGCCAAAAATGATGAGATAAATATTTAAAAGCGCGTGATTCAAGACGACTGACAAAAATATTGAAATGTGGGTACCTATATACCTAATAAGTATACTTACATTTGAAACTACTTATAGATAGTTTAGTGTGAAGTCCTTATTAACCCATCTTTATTCGTAAATTTTTCGAGTTTTAGTAGTTACTTTCAAAATGGAGCTTTTATAAACCGAACAATAGGTATACCCCAACCCAACTAAGTTGCAGACCAATAGTTTTAGTTAAATGTGTGAAACTGTCTAACCAATGGCCATTTTCTCAGTTTAAGGTTTCCTGTACGATGACATCAAAAGAAAAGAGTTACTTATCAGTTTCGGGAAAACTTTAAACCTACCTACTTATTTAGGTATATAGTTGTTTTATTAATTTACTAAGGTAATGGAGAAAGTTCACTGTTCAGTAAGACACGTGTAATGGCAATTAAATGTTAGGCAAATTGCTAAACTTAGCTTCATCAAAGTGTCAATTAAGCATCTACCTACATTTGAAGCAATTTGCTGCCAAAACGTCCTGATAATAATGCAAATACATATTCCCAATACGATGTAGGAAGTGAAATGTGATTAATCGCTTGAAATGCGCATCTATGTCTTGCATAGGAATCTATGAAGCAGTGTAGTTAATATAACTTGCATTGTATTAAAAAAAACTAAGCATATTTTGTTTTCAACTAGAAAAAACACAGGACCTTGAGTGAAGCTGTGTTAAGTTCTCAGAACATTGTAGTTTTAACGATACATAAAGGCAATAGTATCTATACACTAAGTAGGTACATACCTAAACCTTTTGAACCTACACGTTTCCTTTCTCTACCTATCCCTTAAATACTGTAAGTTGAGGGAAGCCTGAAAAAAAGGAAGGAGACCACACGTCCACAATTTAATTAATTTCGGTCAATTGGGTCATCCATTTGGCCTAGTGGTTTCTCTAAAAGGAGAGAGCCGAGATTTCGATTTCTGCAACGCTACACAATGCTAACTAGGCAGGTAGACTGCTTACTAATCGAAAAAAAACAAAACAAAGAGCGACAAGTCGTGATAAAAATATATAAAAGCCTCTAGTTGTTGTTTCAGGAATGAAGTAACGCCGTTCGTACTTCGTGGCAAAGCACGTACTACCTACAGAATTTAGTGTAATCCTTAGTGAAGTCATTAAGTTGCTTGCGCTATTTACTAGAATCGACACCCTAAATCCTTCTTTTTTCACTTTAAGGTTTACTACCTGCTTTAATAACTCTGCAAAATAAAGCTCTGACTGCACTCATCGCTCCTGAAGCAAACACAGCTACAAAAATCCAACAGTTGTAGACGCTAGTATTTTTAAGCACAGCAAGACTACTCTAGTAACATTTAACTCAATGGTTGAACGTTCAATCTACTCCTCAGTCATAAAACCGACGTACTGAAGACGTAAACTTTGCTACGTGTTCTTGCAAAACTAACAGAACATTACATTCATATGCTTAGATGTTGGTATTCCGAATAACTTTTAGTAATAATTAGCTTACCAACATTCTGATATTCTAACATTAATAAAGCATGTTCATGGGTAGGCAAACGTTAAACCGTTTAAAACGTGTACCTACCTAGTTACTATCTAATAGAGTCGCAAATGAAAACGAGTAAAAAATCTGCAATGTTTTTTTTTTGCAAAATGGTGCGAGTGTTAATAAAGTAGATGCTTAGTTTTCAACACTACGTGTATCTAATCTAAATAAAGCATTTTAAGTTTAAATTTTGAAAAAAAAAAACGCCGTTTTGCCGCAATATGACATAATGTAGAGTTCAAACGCGAGGATTAAGGGTTACTATAGCTACTATTAAAGATAACGACAATAAAAAAAGCCTGCTGAAAGAACGAATCGACAACAAGATAGGTCAAAGATAGTAAAGATGAAAAAGCTGATTAACAGTTGCTGAAGTTAGCAAGGGCGATGTTTCGGGAAGCCAAGTGAAAGGTGACGCGCCACTCGCGGTAAATCTACGTGTAATCACCCGCTGCGCCCGCTGAATATTCATGGCGCGATCGACGCCTTCTCTTTATTCACTGTAAACACGTGTACGTGTCCTTCCAAGCCTGTCTTGTATTACGTATAAATACTCAATCTATTTTTGCCCGAACATAAACAAGACATTCTCAAGTGTATTCGATGAAGATAATTATATGTATTAGCAAATACCTAAATAGAAAAGTGAATGTAAATTAAATAAGCAAACAAATTAGGTACCTACTATCCGTTCGCTTTAAGTTTGCCGCTGGCGATATGACGTCACTCGAAGGAAAGCGTCTATAACTTTAACAAACTGTATTTAAAATATTTTTTTATTTATTATTATCGATAAAAATTGTGTTATTTGCGTAAAATAAGACACATTAATTGCGTTTAATCACTAACTAATTGCGTTTAATCGCGGTTGGGGGAGGTGACGCGCATTCCACGGACCGGCAAACTTAGCGCGAACGGGTGATGGCGATGAAATTTGAATTTTAAGTAGTCATAGATTTGTCTCCCTCAAATCAAATTGATTCAGTATAAAAGAAAGGCTATATTGGTACGCTTACAATACTACGCCAGTTGCGGTCGATGATTCCAATCCAGAGGGAAATTGTTAGATGGGCATTCATTCCTAATCATAATTAAATTGATAGATAAAACGTACTTTACTGTAAACCATACAAGAAAAGAAATAAAAACACAAACAAAAGAGACGTCACAATTTAGGCGGCCTTATCGCTACGAAGCGATCTCTTCCCGACAAGGGACCAACTTAGGTACGAATATGTTTATCCGTTTTCTAATCGCCATGCTATGTGTGTTTCTAATAAGTACCTATTACTATAAAAAGATGTTGTAGGTTGGTGGTTCATCAAATCTTGGTCACTTACCACTTCCATAATGCTCCGTAAAAATATCAATCGCAATCATATAAAATAGCACGCAAGTATTCTTACTTCCATAAGGTCAACAATAAAACAAAGTGCTTCAACAAATCAATGTATTTTTTTCTCGTACCTATTTAAGTTAACAACGCCAACAGTTGGGACACCGCTAAGGTTAAAAGTAAGAAAATAATAATAATAGTATATCCAATAATAAATAACGCCTAGAGCACAGTATACTGATGTGAACATAAGGGGTAAAAATGGCAACGTTTTATTTAAGCCCCAAACTGTATGTATCATATTTTCATAGACAAATAGAGCTATTAAACCATATAAATACACTGTTTCAGCATCAGTTAATAGAGATAATCTTAAAAATCGTTTTCTTTTCTTTGGTTTCGCAATATACAAAAATGGAATAGTACTAAATCCGATTCCACAGTGGGAAAGTAAAATAAATAACTTTATTGACACAAGGCTCTTTGGATATAATAATGGGAATAGTGAATAATGCCCAACTGTTGATATCATGAGGTAGGTTATACCGTCTTCTACGCCAAGCACCGACATGAAACTGAAAACAAAATAAGAATAAAGATTGTGAATTACCATCAACATTTAATATTGCGATTCTCTTTATCTTGCGACATAAATTCGCAAAATACAGTCGACAGTCAAGTTAAAACACCAGCACTGAGATACATAAAACATTATTCCATGACAAGTGATGTGTTATGATAAATAATTATGATTTCTGTAGTAGTCTAATTTTTTATTTCTTATTTCTAATCTCACACTGTGACTCACAGAGCCTACTCAGTCAGTGATTTTTTTTTTTTTTTTTAAATAAAAAAAAAAATAAAAAAAAATAAAAAAAAAAAAAAAAAAAAAAAACAAAAAAAATAATAAAAAAAATTAAAAAAAAAGAACAAAAAAAAATATATAAAAAATATATGTATAATAATTAGAGATGAAACGGATATCCGGTAACTATCCGGTAGGCCGGATATCCGGCCTAAATTTACTATCCGGCCGGATACCGGATAGTAACTCACTATCCNCCACGGCATAATTATGCTGAGTGGGGTCCCGTTGCAGTGGGCATCTTGTTGGTGAATGGGTGGCACTGTTCAGTTTACTCTTGTTTTTATTTATTTTTTCTTCCATTATTATGTGCCACTGTCATGTCTGTGTAATGAGAGCTATCGTTTTTATACTTAAGAGTTGGCACCCCTGGCGATTGACAGGACCTTACTGTACAGTGGCGCCATCTTGATGAGTGCAAATGATAGTCCTCCTACCACTTTCGCGCTCACCAGTTGGTGCCACTGTCTTCGCTACTAGCAAGTCACAGGACCTTACTCTACAGTGGCGCTAACTGGTGAGCGCTAAAACGATAGCCCTCATTGCCTGTGTTTGTGTGATGTCAATTGTAATAAATGTATCTTTCTTAACACACATTGTTAACACAAATTACTGTTAGTTTCAGGAAAAGGTCAAGCTACTCACGCCCTCCCTTGGTGGAGACGATCAGCTCGTCGCTGGGCGGCGACGCGCCCACCGCGTTGAAGGCGGTGAGGCGCACGCGGTACACCGACCCGCACGCCAGCCGCTCCAGCGCGTGCGCGCGCGCGTCGCCCGGCAGCCGCGTCTGCGACCACGCGGCCGAGTCCACGCGCGAGTGCTCCAGTGTGTAGCCTGGTTATTTATTTGTTAGGTACACCAACAAAGTCATATAAAGTTTATATGTTACTGTAAAAGCTCGGGCAACTTGAATATTAACACTTAAGGACTCGCTAATGGGTCTAACGGACCCAGTACGTCAATTTTTGTGTAATAACTTTTAAGTTTTGACGTTGGCGATGTTGTCGCTCTTAGTACCTTTCCACGACAGTATAGCACGGCCAATAGCGGTCGTACTCGTCAAATAGCCCACTGCACGTGAGTGCTACAGACGAAAAGGTGTTTTTGAGTCAGCTGGACTCGGTATTCAAAGTGATTTTTTTAATGTTCTATACTAATTTCACATTAATTGTTAATTATTATAAGTAGGCAAATCATAGTAGTTTACGAAACTATACATGGTATTATTAAAAATAATTAATTACAGAAATTTTCAAAATTAACCTTCATTTTCCCAAAAAACCTTAAATTTATTAAATTAGTTGTTATTTTAGAAAAAAAAGCAATGAATATAACTGTTTGGTTTACTATTGTGTTTGTTTATATCATATTATCCTTCTAATAAAATAGTTTTCACTTTTATTAAGTGTTTTTGAAAAATACATAGGATTTTATATACTGGGTCCAGCGCACCCGGTAGCGAGTACGAATGTCACAAATTAAGGCGCGAGTCCTTAAGTGTTAAGATAGATTCGATTTTTTCCAATTGAAGTAATTTCTGATGATGATGATGATGATGAGATGCGCTGAGCACGTTATGACATGTTTTGTTTTTCAACATTTACCGTGTCACTAATGTAAATCCTAAGATTTACCAACAAAATGGTGGTAAGAGTTCGAATCGCAAACCTTTTGGGACATTTACCATTAGAAATTGGTAGATCTTAGGTTTTACTGGAATATCTTAGGATTTACTGCAATTTTAGCTTTTACAGTAACATATACATTATAACATGGTTAAAACATGCGTATATGACCTCAATAGGGATGTTTCCTGGGTCAAAAAGCAAGAGTTTTAATTAGTCCGTCAGTTAACTTATCAAAAAATACTCTACACGTATTTTTCACTTTTTCAAACTAATGAAAATTTAAAGAGATAAAGCGCGCCAAAGTTCATAAGAAGAGGCCCGTGACGTCAATGCGTGCATAAAAGTGCCGCACGTTGTGACGTCGTGCGGAACTTTAACGCACCATAACTATGTAATTATTTGTTAGATTGACAAATAAAAATATGTGTCCAATATTTTTTGATATTAAACATTACGGACAAAAAAAATTTTTTTAGGAAACTAGCCTTATTACAGGTACCTATACACAGCATTTCTTTTTACAAGGTTAGGGTATAAGCACCGAACAATATAAAGCCTGTGAACAGCAAGAGATACAAATTTTCCTTCAGAAGACTCGTTAATGCCTTGTTTTCTTTCTTACAGTACCGGGCGAGCCTCAATGCCACCATCTCCCAAGTGGCGCACTCCAAGCACTCAAGACTGCCGACCTGTCAGCGGCACCTCCACCGGCTAGTACCAGGCCAGGCGCAGGGGCGTCGGCGCCTTTCACCTACGTGGCACGCTCAGACACTCACTTGACAGCAGCGCCTTCTCTGTGGGTGTGTTAGTGCCACCACCCCTTACGTGGCACGCTCCGATACTACTGAGCTACTCCCTGCTGTCGGCGGCGCCCCCTAAGCCACACTACTGACAGTGGGTCTCCCCAGGGCGGCGCATAACAAGCGAGGCCGAATTGAGTGGGTGCTATAGTCTGGTCGCTGAGCACGTACAATTTTGTCCATTGACCCCAAGCTACCCATCCTTATCGCTCGCGCATAATTATATTACTGTCGCGACTGTGCGACGGGTGCCCGCAGTGAGTGTGCGAGCGCGACAGCAACATAATTACGCGCGAGCGATAATGATGGGTAGTTTGGGGTCATTAGACAAAATTCTACGTGCTCAGAGACCGGGCTTTACCATCTCCTACGTGCCGCCTCGCAGCAGCGGGCGCGCGTGTGTCCCGGGGACTGACACTCACCGCTGACGGCGGCGCCCGGCGCGTCCCAGGCGAGCGCCAGGCGCGCGGGCGCCGCGTGTGTGAGGCGCAGCAGCGGGCGCGCGTGTGTCCCGGGGACTGACACTCACCGCTGACGGCGGCGCCCGGCGCGTCCCAGGCGAGCGCCAGGCGCGCGGGCGCCGCGTGTGTGAGGCGCAGCAGCGGGCGCGCGTGTGTCCCGGGGACTGACACTCACCGCTGACGGCGGCGCCCGGCGCGTCCCAGGCGAGCGCCAGGCGCGCGGGCGCCGCGTGTGTGAGGCGCAGCAGCGGGCGCGCGTGTGTCCCGGGGACTGACACTCACCGCTGACGGCGGCGCCCGGCGCGTCCCAGGCGAGCGCCAGGCGCGCGGGCGCCGCGTGTGTGAGGCGCAGCAGCGGGCGCGCGTGTGTCCCGGGGACTGACACTCACCGCTGACGGCGGCGCCCGGCGCGTCCCAGGCGAGCGCCAGGCGCGCGGGCGCCGCGTGTGTGAGGCGCAGCAGCGGGCGCGCGTGTGTCCCGGGGACTGACACTCACCGCTGACGGCGGCGCCCGGCGCGTCCCAGGCGAGCGCCAGGCGCGCGGGCGCCGCGTGTGTGAGGCGCAGCAGCGGGCGCGCGTGTGTCCCGGGGACTGACACTCACCGCTGACGGCGGCGCCCGGCGCGTCCCAGGCGAGCGCCAGGCGCGCGGGCGCCGCGTGTGTGAGGCGCAGCAGCGGGCGCGCGTGTGTCCCGGGGACTGACACTCACCGCTGACGGCGGCGCCCGGCGCGTCCCAGGCGAGCGCCAGGCGCGCGGGCGCCGCGTGTGTGAGGCGCAGCAGCGGGCGCGCGTGTGTCCCGGGGACTGACACTCACCGCTGACGGCGGCGCCCGGCGCGTCCCAGGCGAGCGCCAGGCGCGCGGGCGCCGCGTGTGTGAGGCGCAGCAGCGGGCGCGCGTGTGTCCCGGGGACTGACACTCACCGCTGACGGCGGCGCCCGGCGCGTCCCAGGCGAGCGCCAGGCGCGCGGGCGCCGCGTGTGTGAGGCGCAGCAGCGGGCGCGCGGGCGGGCTGAGCGCCAGCACCTCCCACGTGGCGCGCTCGGAGCCGTACGGGTTGCGGACGGTGCACGTGTAGTTGTCCGACACGGTGCGGTCGAGGTCTGGTGACGTAAGTGAAAGCAAAGTTTAAGCATGTCGCTTTGCATGTCTGTGCGGACGGGAGGCAGTGGCAGGGTCTGGAAGGTTATCTTATAGTAATCTTATAGTTGATTAGCGTGGTTGGTACCTTATTTGGTAATGGTAATAGGTTAGCTACATAATTATTTTTAATAGTAAATTTGGTACCTACTGGTCACTTATTTATGTAATATAAGTAATTAGTTATTGTTATTCCTGTTAAATAATATTGACTTTGTATTATTTCTTTGACATTTTGTACACTGAACAACATTATAAATGTCAGTTGGTTTATATTGTTCAGTTATTTCTGTACATTAATGATGTGCATGTATTTTAATCATAACTTATTTTTTTATTTTTTTTATTTCTAAGCTTGTAATCGTTTAAATAAATAAAAAATGGTTTATTATTCTATGTTTTATTTACCAGGTAAGGTCGCTACCTTACCCGGTAATGGTAATAAGTTATGTAGTCTGCTACGCTACATAACTTGGTAATGTTAATAAGTTATGTATTCTGCTATGCTACATAACTTGGTAATGGTAAGGTAAGGTCGCCACCTTACCTGGTAATGATGAGGTAAGATCGCTACCTTACCTGGTAATGGTAATAAGTTATGTAGTCTGGTACGCTACATAACTTCTTACCTCACCATTACCAAGTTATGTAGTTTGGTTCGCTACATAACTTGGTAATGGTAATAAGTTATGTAGTCTGGTACGCTACATGACTTTGTAATGGTAATAAGTTATGTGGTTTGGTAAGCTACATAACTTGGTAATGGTAAGGTATGGTCGCTACCTTGCCTGGTAATGGTAATAAGTTATGTAGTCTGGTACGCTACATGGTAAGGTAAGATCGCTACCTTACCCGGTAATGGTAATAAGTTATGTAGTCTGGTAAGCTACATAACTTGGTAATGGTAATAAGTTATGTAGTCTGCTATGCTACATAACTTAATAATGGTAAGGTAAGAAGTTATGTAGTTTGGTAGGTTACATAACTTGGTAATGGTAAGGTAAGGTCGCCACCTTACCTGGTAATGATGAGGTAAGATCGCTACCTTACCTGGTAATGGTAATAAGTTATGTAGTCTGGTAAGGTACATAACTTGGCAATGGTAATAAGTTATGTAGTCTACTATGCTACATAACTTGGTAATGGTAAGGTAAGAAGTTATGTAATCTGCTATGCTACATAACTTGGTAAGGTAAGGTCGCTACCTTACTAGGTAATGGTAACAAGTTATGTAGTCTGGTAAGCTACATAACTTGGTAATGGTAATAAGTTATGTAGTCTGCTATGCTACATAACTTAGTAATGGTAAGGTAAGAAGTTATGTAGTCTGGTACGCTACATAATTTGGTAATGGTAAGGTAAGGTCGCTACCTTGCCTGGTAATGGTAATAAGTTATGTAGTCTGCTACGCTACATAACTTGGTAAGGTAAGGTCGCATCCTGGCCTGGTAATGGTAATAAGTTATGTAGTCTGCTACGCTACATAACTTGGTAATGGTGAGGTAAGAAGTTATGTAGTTTGGTTCGCTACATAACTTGGTAATGGTAATAAGTTATGTGGTTTGGTAAGCTACATAACTTGGTAATGGTAAGGTATGGTCGCTACCTTGCCTGGTAATGGTAATAAGTTATGTAGTCTGGTACGCTACATGGTAAGGTAAGGTCGCCACCTTACCCGGTAATGGTAATAAGTTATGTAGTCTGGTACGCTACATGGTAATGGTAAGGTAAGGTCGCTACCTTACCCGGTAATGGTAAATAAGTTATGTAGTCTGCTACGCTACATAACTTGGTAATGGGTAAGGTAAGAAGTTATGTAGTTTGGTAGGCTACATAACTTGGTAATGGTAATAAGTTATGTGGTTTGGTAAGCTACATAACTTGGTAATGGTAAGGTATGGTCGCTACCTTTCCTGGTAATGGTAATAAGTTATGTAGTCTGGTACGCTACATGGTAATGGTAAGGTAAGGTCGCTACCTTACCTGGTAATGGTAATAAGTTATGTAGTCTACTACGCTACATAACTTGGTAAGGTAAGGTCGCTACCTTACTAGGTAATGGTAATAAGTTATGTAGTCTGGTAAGCTACATAACTTGGTAATGGTAATAAGTTATGTAGTCTGCTATGCTACATAACTTAGTAATGGTAAGGTAAGAAGTTATGTAGTTTGGTAGGTTACATAACTTGGTAATGGTAAGGTAAGGTCGCCACCTTACCTGGTAATGATGAGGTAAGATCGCTACCTTACCTGGTAATGGTAATAAGTTATGTAGTCTGGTAAGGTACATAACTTGGTAATGGTAATAAGTTATGTAGTCTGCTACGCTACATAACTTGGTAAGGTAAGGTCGCTACCTTACCCGGTAATGGTAATAAGTTATGTAGTCTACTACGCTACATAACTTGGTAAGGTAAGGTCGCTACCTTACTAGGTAATGGTAATAAGTTATGTAGTCTGGTACGCTACATAACTTGGTAATGGTAATAAGTTATGTGGGGTAAGCTACATAACTTGGTAATGGTAAGGGTATTGTCGCTACCTTACCCGGTAATGGTAATAAGTTATTGTAATGTGTGTGTATGTGTAATATATGTATATGTGAATGTATGTATGATTTTGTTTTAACTCACTATCAGAGATTCAATTTCTTCGTAATTTTTAGTTTGTAGCCATTCAGTGACTGCTGGTACGCTTCATAACTTGGTAAGGTAAGGTAGCACCTTGCCTGGTAATGGTAATAAGTTACGTATTCTGGTACGCTACGTTCACGTAGTCCTGCCACTAGGCACTAGATGGCGCTGTACCACGCCACGTAGTTCTGCTACCAGGCACTAGATGGCGCTGTACAACGCCACGTAGTCCTGCCACCAGGCACTAGATGACGTTGTACCACGCCAAGTAGTCCTGCCACCAGACACTAGTACCACGTCAAGTAGTCCTGCTACCAGGCACTAGATGGCGCTGTACCACGCCACGTAGTCCTGCCACCAGACACTAGTACCACGTCAAGTAGTCCTGCTACCAGGCACTAGATGGCGCTGTACCACGTAGTCCTGCCACCAGGCACTAGATGACGTTGTACCACGCCACGTAGTCCTGCCACTAGATGGCGCTGTACCACGTCACCAGGCGCTATACTACGCCACGTAGTCCTGCCACCAGGCACTAGATGACGTTGTACCACGCCACGTAGTCCTGCCACTAGATGGCGCTGTACCGCACCACGTAGTACTGCCACCAGGCACTAGGTGGAGCTGTACCACGTCACGTAGTCCTGCCATCAGATACTAGATGGCGCTGTACCTCGCCACGTAGTCCTGCCACCAGGTACTAGATGGCGCTGTACCACGCCACGTAGTCCTGCCACCAGGCACTAGATTGCGCTGTACCATGTAGTCCTGCCACCAGATGACGTTGTACCACGCCACGTAGTCCTGCCACCAGGTACTAGATGGCGCTGTACCACGCCACGTAGTCCTGCCACCAGGTACTAGATGGCGCTGTACCACGCCACGTAGTCCTGCCACCAGGAACTAGTCCTTGTCCTCCGTATGGAGAACAGGGTAGTCATCTAGCCGTGTAGCATGTAATGCATCAGGTATCAAGTGAGTACCTACCTACAGCACGACTCCACCACGAGCCGCTCGCGCATGGTTCGCAACGACCCGCCGAGTGGCGGTATCACTGCGACCACGAAACAGAGATTCTCGAGCACTGCGGGTCCGGGATCTCGCAGCTAGATACACGATGACCGTGGACGAACCGTACTCACTTGAAGGTTGGATACGATACATGCTACATGGCAGGTGAGTACCCTGCTGTGTGTACTATCTCTTTCTAATGGCGTGTCCACACATGCCGCCGGCTTTCAAAATGCCTTGCCAGTGTGCCGTCCTGGCCACCGGGTTGGCCGCCCGGCATATTGTGTGGATGCGCCATAATCAATAGCCAGCAACCAACAATATTTTATTTACAAAAAAATACAGACAGTAATACAAATGAACAATAAAATAATAACAGTCATAAAAATAAACAACGAGCTAATACAATTTGAAAAATTTGAATTTGAATACAATCATTTTACAATATTCTATTACTATACTATCATTTTTATTTTCCTTATCTCTATGTAAGTAATCTTTATTAATTATAAACACTTTTTATAATTTACAATCAAAACAAACGGACAAACAAAAAAGATTAACTATTTACAATTATTACATCATTATCAACCGTTCGGTGTGCCGTGCTTCGTGGTGAAGTCTCGAAGCCGCGCCGCATCTCTCCGTTTGACAGGTTACAGGCTCGGCCAGCTTCTCGGTCGGTGTTGTCAGCACGCCGCCTCCGGTCTGCACGTTCCTCTGCTCGGAGCCACTGTCCTTCCCAGAGGCTGCCGTGAGGCTCTCGCCGGCTGCTGAAGCTCGGGTGAGCACTCCTTCATCCTCACAAAGAACATGTGCGACAGTCTCTGCTCCGTCCGCCAGCTCTGCTTCCCCAGGGCTCGCGGCGAGGTGGTTCGAAGGCTGGAACAGGAAGAAGTGGTTGGGGGTCAGCGTCTCGGGGTCTTCAGGGTCGACTAAGAATACTCAGATACTGTATAAGTACCTGTATTATCATGACATTTTGTTCTGCAAATAAACTTATTTGATTTGATTTGTTTGCGTGAGCGGTCGGCTGTTGACGGTTATATCCACCTCGGCGAGCAAGGTGACGAAGGTCTCTTCCGATGTCGATCGACTGTCCATCACGGCCGCCAGGGCCGTTTTGACGAAACCGAGGCCATGCCTATGAATGGATCTCCAGGAGGAATGAAGCACCAGGTTATTCTTCTTTTGGCCGCTTCATCTTCTGTCTGATGCTGCCGTCTCGAGGTGCACCGCTCTCGCCGTCAGACAAGTGAATGGCGCCACGTTGAAAGAATGAAAAGAAATAAATAAACATTTATTGCTATGGACATCACAAAAGACAAAAGAGGTAAATAAAAAAAAGCAAACAAGATAGATAGGTAACACATAAAACATACAATGAAAGAGAAAGTAAACTGAGCAGTGCTACCCTGTCGCACAGCGATGCCCATCGCAATGGGAACCCACTCAGCATATGCCGTGACCCCCGGTGATCGTTGACCGTAGGTCATTTCGGTTGCCCTCCTCTAGTGAGCGACAGCCCGAAGTAGTCTCGTGTAGGCACGCTGGTGGTGGGCGAGCCGACCGCCGGGATGGTCACCGGTTGTTGACTCAGGCGGCGGCCATTTTCTGCGGCGCGGTGCACGTCAGTGAAAGATACTGTGCGCCGTCCTCCGAAGTCCCGGTATGTAGAACCTCTGTCGGCATCGGTTGATGGTGGTCTCCACTCCGTGGTGACGCCCGACGCGATGCACGCACTCGATGTACAGCCTGGCGATGTGGTGACGGCCGTCAAGGATGGCTGGCCGCTTCAGGATGTGTTCTGCTGCTGCTATCCGGTATTTCTCTGCCAGGACCCCGTCGAAGAGTTCTCAATAATTTATTTATTTTTTATTGGGCTATCAACATGAGATACAGTATTAACCACAATTATAAAATAAACAATTAAGCCAAAGGTCTCTAGCTAACTGCTCCCACACAAACGATAACCACAGCATGCATAATATTATAATGTGAGCAACCCGTGAACTTTACACAATACAATAACATAATATAGTACTTAATTACAACTTCGAATATAAACCAGAAACAACAAAAAGAAAGTTACAAAAATAAAAATAATAATAATAAGAGGCTTCCTAGATGCATATATGCCACCGGGGGCACGTCACCCGTCTTAATTGTTTTTAAGAAATCAGTGAGGCTTTAAAAAATTATATCAAGTTCTGGCAACTTCTTGCTGAGATCATTGTATATTGAATATCTTCTTTAACTCGCTGCTATCGACGACACGCCAATGTTGTGATAAACACTCAATCTCTTGTATATCGCTCAGTGAAAACGTCGATTCAGAAGTTGGTTTTGCTCTCTAAAAGCTAAGAACGATATAATTATTTACATTAGGAAACAATCAGTCACGTTTGCAAAATCCAAAAGTGAACAGTAAATTATGTAACAGGGGATAAATTTAGAAATGGAGTCATGGCGATTGTTTAGGAGAAAAATTTTGGAGCCGGTTTGGTAAAGTTGTATTGTAACACGCAGAAGATGTTGCATTGGTTTGAGAGTGTAAAAATGGTCGTACTCGTGCACAGCACGGACGGTCGTGCGCAGCGCCATCTATGATGCCCTACATAAATCATTTCGTAAACTGTTCACTGTACTGTTAGTTCTTATAAAGCAAGATGACTTATAGATGGCGCTTTACAAACATTTGTTTTATAATAATATAGGTAGATGGCGTTAATATGGGTTTGGAACAGCAATCTTTGAGGTCACGAAGTTAAAGGATATAGTTCCAAAATACTGGACTGTCCTGTCGATGACATTGACAGCGGGGCGCCACCGTCAATACCGAATCGCTGGTTCCGATTTTTGCCATGTTGGAAACCATATAGTTGAACGATGGTAGCGCCCCCCTGTCATTGAGTTTGGCGGGACAGTTCAGCGTGGGTCATCTATAACTGGGGCAAGTACAATAAAACCATCCGGCCACCAACAATCGGCTTTTACCCGTGGTCCCTCCAAATGTCCCCCTGGTGGATCCACGGGTAATTTTTTTTACTCGTTGTCCCACCGTTCTGAACAGTGTTTGCCAGTGGGTCTACGGGTAATTTATTGTAACCATGGTCCCACCGCACTAAGTGGCAAACATTGCATGTCACCTAGGTATCTATAATATTATAAAAAAATCCATAGATATAAAAGACTTAATTCCTAAGTTCATATTTATTTGAGAATAAATTTCTAAAATTAATTATAGATTTTTTTATAATATTATAGATACCTGCACCGCACTAAGTGGCAGACATGCAATGTTTGCCACTTAGTGCGGTGGGACCATGGTTAAAATAAATTACCCGTGGACCCACCAGGGGGACACGTTGGGGGAACACGGGTAAAAGCCGCCAACAATAACTCACCGAATATGACCAGGTATTCCCCGTCGACGTGGAACCTGGGGTCGGCAGTCAGAGGCGGCGCGGGCCGGCGGCGGGCCCACGCGCGCGCGGGAGCCGGGCCCGCCGCGCCGCAGCGCAGCCGCACGCTGCGACCCGCCGCGCCGCGCACGCGCCGCCCGAACGACCAGATCGTCGCGGGCGCTTGGAAAAGAGTACAGAACTGGTTAGTATCACAATATTATATGACTGGTTTTAGAACTACGCTGACACACGCTAACCGTCAGCGCTCACAGCCGAAAGTTGAAGCATTGGCGCCGAGCGATCAGCGTCATTCTGGAACGTTCCCTTCAATTCAAAATAATATGTATGTATGTGACTTTGTTGGTGTACCTAATAAATAAATAAATTTTGATTTGTCAGCGCCAACGATCAGCCAGCTAGTTGTAACCTTTTTCTAAAACCCGCCTAACGACATGCAATCTAGTTGTAACCTTATTCTTTCTTTGCAATAAATTGCTAATCACTAATCCTGCTGACCGAGACAGAGGACACCGCCACCACCCAGCCCCCTAATCCTGCAAGCACCACCACCACGACAGATGTCACGACAGCCAGCCCAACGCAACCTCAACCCAATCGATTGACTACCTGCACGCTTCTTTGCTTCTTTGGCATCCAAGAACCACCCATTCACCAGACGTTCACTGGTCCTCCTCACCCACGTCGTTTCACTCGGTGGGTCCCGCGCCGAGGGAGGCTCGGGTGTCAAAACTGATCTGCAGGACAGTCCGTCTACCGCCTGGCAGAAGCCAGCCGAGAATATGCCCGGGACATGAACGCCCGAACGGCCAGTAAGCTATCCTGTAGGCCTAAGATGCGCGCAGCGATAAGCGGTTATAAATAAATATAAATAAATCATTTATTTCCCCTCACAAACTTAGGTTAAATTACATTTGGTAAAAAATACATTACGCTATAGGTACTTTTAATACTAAGTTTGTGTGGGACTGGTGCCTAAAATAGGTTTCGTTTAAAACCTGTTCTACAGGTCACCAGGCCCCCACCCGTGGAATATTATATGGTAGTATAGCGGTTATCACGCCATTTTGTCGATTTTGCCCATACATTTTGACATCGACAAAAGTTATCACGGCGCGCATCTTAGGCCTACTGCATAGATAGACACATATCATAATCGAGTTCCAACTTGCTAACAGGTTGGTGTCTCACCCCTGGCGTTGGGTTTGCGCGCGACGACGGCACTCATCTCGCCCTCGCCGGCGGCGGTGGCGGCCGTGACCCACACCTCGTACACCTGCGCCTCGTGCAAGCCTCGAAGCTCCACGTGGTACTCCTCCTGCCCTTCCACGTGAGCCACCGTTAGTTGCGAGTGCTGGCCTGTCCTGGAAGTGATTGTCTAATTAAATACGTTTTGGCAGAACTTGACTTTTATTCATTGACCAATTTGACCATATTAGCAGATTAAATACAAATGTAGTCAAAGTAGGTCATCTTCATAGAAACGCACCGAGCGCAGTTTTTATGTGAGCGTGCCAATACGTATGCGGCGCGCACGCACACACTGACAAAGTTTAGCGTGGATTAGCGGGGAGTTGCGCCGAAACAAACCGCGCTCGGTGCGTTTCTATGAAGATGACCTACTCATTTGTATTTACTCTGATATTAGTGATAAGATACAACTAAAGTCCATTTGCCACATGCACGCCACGTCGCGCGTAATTATATTGCTGTCGCATTCGCATTCTCACTGCGGCCGCCCGTCGCACAGTAGCAACAGCAATATAATAAAATTAGTCGCGAGCGATAAGGATGGGCAGCTTGGGGTCATTGGACGAAATTATATATGCTCGGCGACTGGACTTTAATTACAAACGAAATAACTAGTTGTCCAACATTGAAAAAATTGCCTTCAGCAATGAGCACGAGAATGTTATGACATCTTGTCTCAGAGCACAAGAACGTATGACATTCTGTCTCACTCCAAGAGTCGAAACAATAAATTACCTTACGCTCACTAGTTGGCGCCACTATCTTAGCCACAAGCAAGGACCTTACTCGCCAGTGACACCAAGTGAGACAAATTCTCATCGAATTTGTTACTCTATTGTATTATGCAGACCGATATGCAATGACAGAGGGAACAACTAAGGAACATTATCAATCAACAAACCTCTGTGGCCTGCTGTACACAGTGTAATGCTTGATTTTTCCATTCTTCTGTGTGGGTGTCAGCCAGCTGACTATCACGGTGTCTTCAGAATTGGCCAATGCTTTTATATCCGCTGGAGCGCCTGGAACTGATAACATTAAGGAAATTAGTTGACTGAAAAGCAAAGAGACTCGGTTTCGGAATGATTATTTTGACGTTTAGGAGTTAAGGGCACATCTAGTAGATCAATCAATCAAATTTCTTCGATAATTAATTTGAAAATGTTACAATAACACAAGTTAAACAGCGCATAGCGAACTATAGATAATAATGCTTGCAAGTAGAATGTAATATTTTTAAATTCCAATAGATGTCACTAGTGCTATGACTACAAAATACTTGTCAAACAGCGCCATCTACCGATCTGTAGATAATAATTCTTGCAAGTAGAACGTAATATCTTTAACTTCCAACAGATGTCACTAGTTCCATGCTTTCCTTTCACCCTGTTTTCGAAAAATGAAGTATAGTTCCAAAATACTGGACTGTCCTGTCGATGACATTGACAGTGGGGCGCCACCGTCAATACCGGATCGCTGGTTCAGATTTTTGCCATGTTGGAAACCATATAGTTGAACGATGGTAGCGCCCCCCTGTCATTGAGTTTGGTGGGACAGTTCAGCGTGGGTCATCTATATGTATAAACATGGCAAAAATTGGAACCAGCGATTCGGTATTGACGGTGGCGCCCCGCTGTCAATGTCATCGATAGGACAGTTCAGTATTTTGGAACTATACCTACCATAAAATCTGCGTCCTCCTAAGGTCAAAGAACCTAACAAGAGCGTGGGCTCTTATCTATACTCGACGCAGACTCGTGACAGGGGGGGCCCATGAGTAATTTTTGAAACAAATGAGATGTACTCGCCAATATTTTATTAATTATTACGTATCATAAAATGGCTATGCCTGCCTCTTTACGACGTCACCCATACCCCCACCAGTGTGATTGCGAGAGAAAACGACGACGACGATGTGCCACGAGTAACGCTGCATCATCGAGTACAGTTGGAGGAGCGACAGGTGCTCTTAAGGTTCAGCCAAACCAACGCGCAACACGATCACACGCGATCAGCCGGCGTTCAGCGATGGCGAATTGGCGATTAATGCATTAAAACCTGTTTGCCATCGCTGCACGCCGGCTGGACTTGGTTTGACTGAACCTTTACAAAAAACATGAAACTCACTGTCCTCGTGCGTGGCGCAGTAGACGGGGTCGGAGGCGGGCCCGGGCCCGGCGGCGGTGCGCGCGCGCACGCCGAGCGAGTAGTTGGCGGCGCGCGCCAGCCCCGCCAGCGCCACCTCCAGCCCGCCCGCGCGCCTCAGCTCCGGCCGGCTGTCCGGCTCGCTCACCGCCTGCCAAATGAAGAATAGACGTATTGACACCACCAATCAATGAGGGCTATCGTTTTTATACTTAACAGTTGGCACCCATGGCGATTGACAGGATCTTACTCTACAGTGGCGCCATCTTGATGAGTGCAAATACGATAGTCCTCCTACCACTTTCGCGCTCACCAGTTGGTGCCACTGTCTTCGCTACTAGCAAGTGACAGGACCTTACTCCTACAGTGGCGCGAACTGGTGAGCGCTAAAACGATAGCCCTCATTGACGTACTTTTTAAAACTGTCAAAACGAAACTCTCCCATAGATTTTGTATGACACTACAAGCAAGTGACGTCACTATTTTGTCAACTCAAATAAACGACTTTTTTCAATAAAAATGCGACCAAAAATCGTAATTTACAGGTAATTTAAAATTAATTAAGTTTTTAAGACCAGAAGTGTCTATTTAGAAAAGTCGTGATTTAGAATTTTTGGTTAATGGTGTCAAATTGTCTTTTGATTCAAGTAGGTATATAAAGACATATTTTATTAGGTAAAATACGAGGATAGGTACAAAATAAAACTTTTTCTTTTGTTATTCTCTAGGTTCTTTATAGGACGCTTATGCACGACCAGTTTATAGCTTAACTCTATTTTTTTCGTCTAGAAATGCTTCGCATATCCACTAGCTGAAGAGAGCGGCCAGTGAATAGGTTATGTCAAACACTCCTTCATCAGAATCTCTGGAGCCTAATGAAACGGAGCTGGGAGTTATTGTCCTAGCTTGGACATTCGTCCATACCATCACTTCGGGACTGGCTGGCTGGTACTAAGAAGAATTGGAAGAAAGATAGTCACCTTAATTAAGTATTCGTTGTATTTGCCCACACGCAGTAGGTACAGTTCAAGTCTCAAAGAATCTATAGTACATTGAGTGAATTGGCTTGTCCCGATATAAAGTAGTTCAAAGAACAGCGTTCAAAGATGGCGCTTTACAAATAGTTGCTTATATAATTTCCAAGTAGATGGCGCTAAATACCAATAAATTGGTTTACAAAACAGTTTCATACTAATGAGGGTTTTCGCGTATGAAAGATCCGCTAGATGGCGGGACGTGAATGTGGGGTCTGTCTGACTGCTGCGTGATTGGTAGATTTTGACATAATTATCTGTCAATGTCATGTCAAAAATAACCAATCATGCAGCATTTGGACCTCGCGTCTACGTATTGCCATCTGGCGGATTATTCAATCGCGAACACCCTCATTGCAGAAAATACCATTTAAAAGGTTCAGCCAAACCAACGCAATCAGCCGGCGTGCAGCGATGGCGATCAATGCATTTAAGTCTCGCCATCGCTGCACGCCGGCTGATCGCGTTGGTTTGACTGGACCTTTACAAGAATGTAATAAAACAAACCTCATACAGCACTTCGTACCCCAGCAGCACGCCGCCCCTGCTGGCGGGCGGCGGCGGCTCCCACCACACGCGCACGGACTGCGCCGACATCGCCTCGCAGCGCACTCGCGACGGCGGCGCTTCTGGCGCTGGGACAGAGGGACGTTTCAATTAGAATTAACATTTAAAAACGTAACTACTACCCGCGCCCACCGACTATGTTATTGTACAGTCGCGGAATGAAAAGGTTCGTCACCTTAGTGTCGGTTTTCGCTTGCACTAGGTACTGTAAGAGTCAAAGCTGCCAACATAACAGTGCAAGAAACAGTGCTGCTAACATTTAAATAAATATGACGTTAGCAAACGAATAAGGTTTTGCTTGTTTATTTTTCTATCCCATCAGTGCGATGAAATGATGACATTGACCAATTGAAAATAGTTTTTTTTATTTAATAGAAATAATAATGGCAGGTTGAACCAACAAGAAGGTTTTAGTTTATCAATTATAATAATCTTCTTGACAAGATAAATCGTCAAACAACTTTGATCTGAATAATTTTGAACTTTACTGACGAACAGTTAAAGATATTCTGTAACTCTAACTCGAGATTATTCTGTAACATAGTTTCAAAAGGTAATATGTGCTCGCGATTCGTTGAAGGAATCAATTTGAAAACTGACGAACCTTTTCATTCCGTGACTGTACAAGCAAATGCAAGAAGAACCGCCCGCCCTTGTGGCCCCCGAATATGTGCTCATTATCCACTGCGGTATTAGGTCTCAACGTTCGAATAATCTTACTACGCAAGTAATGTAAACTGTTTACATTATGACGTCGCTGGTGTCATCATTACTTTCACGAGCAACGTGTTCTGTTTTTGGTCATATTGCTGTGACACCGGCCTCTTATCACATCTCCTTTTAGTTTCTGTGATCTGTGGAGGTGGCAACAGGTATTATTTCGCAACTTATACAGGGTGGAATTTTGTAATGCCACCTGAAAGAAAGTTCTGGAAATACCTACTTAAGATAGAAAATTTTACTAAAAGGAAACATTCCTTTATTATTGAAAAGAAAGAGAACAGCATTCAAAGATTTCTTGGTATTTTTTTAAAAAATTCGCTACCATATCATACCATTTTTTGTAAATCAATATAATAATTTCAAAATTCATGGTTTTCCTTTCATTTGTTTATTTATTTATTTATTTATTTAATTGAAATGCAAGTGAGCTTACAGATTTATATCCAAAGCGCTCACATTGCCAATTTGAAATTACATTTAATGTTAGTAAGTACTTATATCTATTTATGGTTAGTAGACAAATACAATCTTAATTTTTTTACAAAACACTCTAAGGAGTTGGCAAAGATGTCGACGTCTTGGACGGTTTGCGTAAACATGTTTAAAAGACAGAGTGCCCTGGGAGTCGGTGTGTTGTTAGCATGCAGTGTGCGCAGGCCATCGGGGGCACAGAACAGGCGGTGCTGACGACGACCCGTACGTGTGTAATTATTTGGAACAAATAAACTAATACTACGAAGCACGACAGGATTTTCTATTTTGCTACGCAGCAATAAGTAGTAGTGAATTGCTACCGACACTTTACGCCTCAGCTCAAGAGTATCAAGACCAACCATGCCAGATACAAAAAGGGAGGGAAACAGAAACGGGTAATACCCAAAAGTTCGTTTGTAAAGATATCTGGAAAACTTACGTTGGACTTTCTCTAACATTTCTGAATACTTTTTCTCTCGAGGAGACCAGACCACTGCCCCATACTCCAACTTGCTACGGACGTAAGCGTTATATAGCATCACAGCCAGACCAACAGTTCTAAACTGAGACGCTGTCCTCATTATGAACCCCAACACTCTGTTAGCACTTTTGCAAGTTGCAACAATATGCTCGCGAAAATTCAGTGCAGTGTCCATCATCAAACCCAAGTCTCTGATCTGGGTTACCCTCTCCAGAGGCCGATCTCCTAAGGCATATGAGTAAAACAAGGTATCATAAAGTCTTGAGAAAGTAATAACTTTTTTTTTTTATTTATTTATTTAATAGGACAACCAACAAGACATACACTGGAAGACAATCAATATTTACAACGTATTTAACTTAATCTAAGTGCTGCCTTAATTATAGGTTGCCACGGCATGCAATAGTGGACTTATACATAAACAGTGTCTACACTTAAAGAAAAGAGTTTCTTCACTTTGCTCTTAGATACGTTTAGGTCCAATTTATTTTCTACACTCCACTCAAGCACAGCTTGAATGTCCTGCTGCAGTAATACGCAATCCCTTTCCTCGCTAACTTTCAAGTAGAGTTTTAAATCATCTGCAAACATTAGGATACAACTCCCCGCACATTATTTTGATTAAAAGGTAACAAATATACTATATCAACATTAGTCAAAATGTAAATGCAAATGGAGATAAAAAATAGGCCATTTTACAAGGCGAGTTTGAATAGGCAGTTACAGGGCAGGTTAGGCGGTACCATCCTAAACTGCATCTCACTTAACACCAGATGCTATTGCGGTCAAATACATGCCTTGCTCTGCATAATTCAGAACATTTTCTGAATTTTAAAAATAAATCTTTATTTCAAATCTCACGATATCTTACACATCATCTGGGTCATTGACTTTTTGGGTCAAATTTCCAAGAGATTGCGCGCAAAAATCGCCCAATAAATACCATAGGGCATATTTTTACGGGTTACCAGCGGCAAATTGGGATTTTTACGTACTCAAATACGTGTAAAGTGTATCCCTCGTAAAACCTCCTTTTTTCAGTCGAAAAGCCGGTCAAGAGGATTTCTTCATCTGCATTATGTAAGCGAGAACGGAAGGATTGCTCCGAAAAATAACATCACGCGTACGTAAGATAGAGCTAGACAATAGTTGGGGCAACCATTTTGTTTTGTAGTGTCCTTGATTTGATTTTTAAATTGACGTAGTCCTTTAAAATTTTCAGAAGATTCTTATCTAATGAACAAATTAGATAAAGTTTACTAAAACGTAGAATAAAACGTAGTAAATATAGTCAAAATAGGACCTATATCATTTTCACTGTAAATAAGATGGTTACACTTTTTAAATGATTGAAATTATGGAGTAGATACAGGTTTTTTTAAAGACTTTTTTAAGAGGTTTGAGAGAGTGTATATTGAGAGCACTGAACTTTTTTATATTGTGAATGTAAATACTCAAGATTTTTAGCGGCAAGCAAAAAATTAGCATACAATCTATGAGATGATAGAACGGTAAACGTTGCAGTATTGAAATTTCGCCCTGAAAATATGTAAAACTTACTGGAATACCAAATTAAATGTATGCCTGATCCGCAAGTTTCTGGGTATCACGAATTTTGATCAGTTTTCCGGCTTCAAAAGAAAATAGTAACGTGAAATTGTGAAAGTAATTTTCATATAATGAGTTATTTTGGATTTCCCGATAAAATTTTAAACATTTTCTGGAATTCCAATTGAAACGCTACGACGAATTCGTGATAAAATATATTTATTAGTAGCATACAATATGAGGTTTGTGATGTTTACACTATACATTTGGAATTCATGTGAATAACTTATTACTTGCGCAAATATGGAATTTACTAGCTTTCCGCCCGCGGCTTCACCCGCGTGGAATTTTGTCTGTCACAGAAAAACTTTATCGCGCGCGTCCCTGTTTCATAACCCGAAATAAAAACTATCCTATGTCCTTTCCCGGGACTCAAACTATCTTTATGCCAAACATCAAAATCGGTTCAATGGTTTAGGCGTGAAAGCAAGACAGACAGACAGAGTTACTTTCGCATTTATAATATTAGATATATTTCAGTTGACGGGACCATGAAACGAAGTGTTATTGTAACAGCAGGTTGATTGAAACTTGCAACAAAAGTGAGTACAAATAAATAAAACGATTTTACACTACGAATATGCACTCATACCAATTTCAGCACTAAGGTTAACCAACATGAGTATAGTATTTATTTATTTGTTGTCTATTTGAACCAGTTGATTAATAGATAGTATTACATTAAGACAATGATGAATAATTATCAAGGCTAAAGGGTAAACTAGGAAATTAATTCGCAATTACCAAGTCGTAATTAATTTTGAGGCGCCCGCCATCATTCAAGCAACTAAACAAAGAACAAGTTTTGATTAATTCCAGCCTATCATACACTGTACTGAATAATAATTTATAAATTCACATTTCTTACTAAAGCTCTTGGTAAGAAACAAAATATTAGTGTGTTTGGCCTGTTTTCATTCTCGAGGAAGCTATGAAAAAAAATACATTACCAACGCAATAAAATATCGGGGCACATAGCTTGCACAAAGTTATTGTGGTGACTACGGGCCGGAAGACGTAGTGTGGGCAGGCCCCCTTCTAGATGGACCGACGATCTGGTGAAGGTCACGGGAGGTACCTGGATGCGGGCGGCACAGGACCGTTCCTTGTGGAAATCCTTGGGGGAGGCTTTTGTCCAGCAGTGGACGTCATTTACCGGAAAACGCAGCGTGTGACGTCCACCTACAAGGTGGACCGACGACATCGTAAAGGTAGCAGGGAAGCGCTGGACGCGGGCCGCTACCAATCGATCAACATGGAAAGCATTGGGGGAGGCCTATGTTCAACAGTGGACGTCCTATGGCTGAAATGATGATGATGATGGATGTCATTTGGCTGAAACGACGACGACCCAAAATTCCGCGTAGTGTAAAAAATAATGTACAAGTTACTGTAGAACGCTCTAACTTTATCAATCGTCACCTCAATTAATATGCCACCTAAGGACATTATGATAAACACTTTTGCACCCTAAGTTATTGTATAGGGATACATGCATCTGACGTGTTCCTACCGCACTTGGGACCAATGCCAACCGGTCCAGTTCCGTCCACTTGCTAGCTGAAAGGCACCCTTGACTTAATTTTCCCAATCAAGGTCGCATTTTACTTACATACTAGCGGCCGCCCGCGACTTCGTACGCGTTGATCCCGTTTTACCCCCTTAGGGGTGGAGTATCGTAAAATCCTTTCTTAGCAAATGCCTACGTCATAACATCTACCTGCATGCCAAATTTCAGCCTGATCCGTCCAGTGGTTTGGGTTGTGCGTTGATAGATCACTAAATCAGTCAGTCAGTCAGTC